GCTTATGCACAGGGGCTTCTCTAGCTCCTTAATATAGATGAGGTGTCATGGGAAGAGATGAGGCAGGGCATCAAAGTGTGGGTTTGATCGCTGACATTACTTTTTCAAGGGGACAATACTTATAAACCTGAACATTAATTTGGAAAATGTAGAAAATGCCCACTCCCCTACTGTACAAGGTTATTACAAGAAGATTCTGTGAACCACAAATTCTCATCAGTGCACATAATACTGGAAACAGACACAGTACTGGCATCATACTGCTGGACGCTTACCAACAACACCCGAAGGCATTTTGGGGCACTTCACTCCATTTATCCATTTGGCAGCAGAGCCCCATTTCCCTTGGGGAATTCATTCTTGTCCATCTTGATGGACTAGCTACCAAGAACCCCTGCGCTCTCAAGGCTGAGCCGTGGACACTGTCCAAATTGGGCCAGCTGGACTCTCTCTCCTGAGAATGAGTGGGAAAAATGCAAGATCAGAAAAAAACATCTGAGCTGATCTTTTCTGGCTATGGAGCCCTAAGGATGTTGACTGCTAATTCTTGTTACACAGACCCAGGGCATCTCCGGCTATGTTCATGAAAACATTTCTACTTTCTTCCTGGGCACATCCAAAATAACATCAGAAGTGACCCAGGTCACTGCCAGACCTGGCCCCTGGGAAGGCGCACCCGGCCCTCTCTATGCAGCTGGGTGCAGAGGTCTCTGATCCAGCGAAGCCAAACAACCCGGAAGGCGAGCTCCCTGCACCGCCATCTGGAAGGGAGCTACCGGGAGCGCCTCCTGACCCACATCTGACTACAGCAAGATGAGGCGCTCAGCTCTGTTGTGGCAGGTCACTGAAACTTGTTGTGGCAGGTCACTGAGACTTAGGGGTGTTTTTACAGAAGCTAACAAGTGTTACCCTGAGATACTATCCTCCTCAGGGACTGATTTTCCAACCTTCTTTTCAATTTTGAGATCCTTCCAGCGAATTCTTTTCCTGCTCACGTTAGCCAGAGTGTACTTCCGTAGCTCTCCCCCACAGTCCCCGGTGGATCTATCACTAGCAATAATCCAAATCCACAGAAGTGGGACAAATGAGATTAAACATGTTATCTCATGTGAGACTGTAGACGTTTATTGAACTGACACTTTTTTATATAAGCCAACAACTACATACTCAGCACTAATATTTAAGAGGCACAAAGTTAAGTATTAGTTACAGATTCTGCCTCTTTACCATTAACAAAAATTCACTCAAATTTATTTATTCTAGACACCCTGGTAGGCATTGGAGATATGAAGACAGAGAACCGGTCCTTGCCTCTGAAGAGCTCGGGGTCTGGTGCCCGTGAGATGCTTCCAGTGTGTGGGGGAAAATCAACGAGTACACGCTCGGTACAACGTCACCACTCAGACGAGGTAAAACTAGAATGTAGACCAGTAGGTTCTGTCCTTGGCCCTTTGCACTTTATACAGTCTTCCTGGGTAACTCACCTATTCTTTCCCGGTTCTGACCATCACTCATGATTCTCAAATCTTTTATCTCCGACCCGCACTTCTCCGCTGAGTTGCAGATCTACAGTTCTAACTGTCAGCAAGACAATCTCTCCTTGGTGTCCCACAGGCCTCTCATATTCAACATGTCAAGAGCAAAACTCCTTCTGCCTCCCAACCTGCGTCCTCTCTTAGGTGACAGAACAGCGGCTGTCTAGCTAGCTAGAAATCGTGGTGGCCTTTGGACTTGCTGCTCTCTCCCATTTCCTGGTACACATTAGTCACCAGGATCCATCACTTGCATCTCAGAAACATTTCTATGTCGTCTCTGCTCAGTCACTTTGGAATCTCTCACTCTTCCAGCCCTGCGGCACGTCCTCTGTTCTCGCTCCTGTCAAATGCACTGTCAACCCTGCTGCTGAGTATTGTTTTGACCCTGAGATCTAACTTCATTCCTCTGTTAAGATTTCTTCATTGGCTCCCCAAAGTTATCAATGAAGTCCCAACCTCTCAGTCTGATATAAAAGACACGTCACAATCTCGCACCACTAACTTTTCTATCTTCCCCTCTATGAGTATAATGAGCAAACTGAATCCTACCTCTAATTTATCCCTTTGATTCATCTTTCCTCGCTCACTGACCACCTGAAATTCCAACCAGTTTCCTGCTCCCCATTTCGTGATCATCTCCAAGAAGAGCTTAAGTTTCAACCCTTCAAGCTGCCCCCATAGTTTCTTCTCACTCTTGTGGAATCAGTCCGTTTAATCGTGACCTGCTGTAAAAGACCCCATCCCCTCGGGCTTCGTTGTGAATGAGCAGCGCCTGCATGTTCTTGTGACCGACCTGTAAACCCTTTGATCTCTGTCATGAGGACTGAATTCCTGGGAGGGTCATTTTCTCATTTATCAAGGTAGTCACGTCACTCGTGCTCATCTACTTTTGAATCTGAGAATTTTAGAGTTGAAATAGAGCTCAGAAGTAATCTAAACACCTTTTCCGATGCATAAGTGCTTCATTTATAATAACTTAGAAGAAATTTCCTACCTTCTTCAGGACTTAAAAGCCACTACTCCTCAGAACAAGCCGTCCATCTCTACATCTCCAGTTGCTAACGGTTTTTTCTTTATACTGAGATGGACTCGCTCCCCCCCTGTAACTTCCGTTCCAGGCTCTGGTTTTACTTAGCCATACAGAGTAAGTTGCCAATCTTCCCTTTATACAGTTTCACTCCAGATCTCTGGAGATTTCCCATGCCGCCTTTTCCAAGTCCTCTTTCACTAGACCAAATCCTCCCAGTTCTTTAAACCACTCCTCACAGAAAATCGAGCGACTGAACCAGCGGCTCAAGGAAGCTGTAATTAGCAAAGTGCAGACCAAGTCATCTTCCCACTAAGGTCTTCCTGCCCTTGAGGTTGACCTCAGAAATCAGGATGCTTCCTGGTCTCACATAAAAAGAATACTTAACAAATAGGCCTTCAGGATATAACACCCAAACGCTTACTATTTTTCAAAATTCTATAAAGGGTGTTAGGACAAAGAAGACTCCGAATTTTGCATTTGGAAAGTGAATATAGTACTTTGTGTATGCAGAACATTCTCACAGATTTCAAACTAACCCTTTAAATAAGTAACAAAACACGTGTTGCCCCAAGAAGTTGACGTGGCAGACTGTCATGCTTTGAGCATTTCTAAGTAACGAGGAACATGGCAGAACTACGCGTTTCTCCTCCCCGAGAGCCCTGGCAGGCATCGGTGTGCCTCGCAGATACGCTGCTTCTACTGTGATGAGTTGATTGGCAGCCTCCCGGTTTTCCTTTACAATTCTTCCTGGGGTGACACCGAGCTTCACCTTTCCTCCCGTCACTGGGGACCATTTTCATCCCACCTCTTTTTGTCCTGAGGGTAGCATCTTCGCCTGTGACTTTGTATGTTCTGATCCAGAGGAATGTCCTTCCTATACTTCTGGACATTTGCAGATGACAAGACTTTCGTTCTATTCATTTCCCTGCATTTGCAGAATGCAAATTATTTAAAGTGGTTTTTACCTGGCCACTGTTTCCTGCACAGGCAATTATGTCTCTGCAAATGGTTGCACTGGCCAAATACTTCTGTTCACAATTAGCTAATTGCAGGCACAATGAGCCACTGTTTCCTTCAAATTCTGCCATTAGACTTGTGTGATGAGGCAGAAATTTATCTTTTTATTCCCTTGTGATTTACAGAGTCACAGCCGCTCTCAAAGCAGGCTTCCCTGTATTCTTTTACAAGGCCAATAAAAGCCTTTTCCTTTTTTATTTCCTTTTGAATGTGTCATGTTTCCCATTCTTTTACAAATCACAGCAGTTAGGCTTTCATATTGGACCGAAGGAATATGTATTTGAACTAAGTCATCCCTCTAAGAAGGGTTATTATGAATTTAAGGGTTAATTATTAATAATTATTACCTCAATCCGTTTTGTAAACTATAAAATTAAGGCCACAGAATAGTTGGGTTTCCCAAGGTCACATAGTCATGATAAGAGTAAAATTAAAAATCCCGAACAGCAAATCCCGCTTTCTCCCTGGGCACTGAGTTTCCCACATAGGGTAAAAATTAACCTTCAACCTCACTTTCCTTGAAAAGAAAGAAAACACCCTTAACCATTCCCCCAAAACTTCTATCACCAGGATTCTTGGAGTCTACAATGTCACTTCTTTTGAAAAATGGCTTCATGTGTTTCAACTTTTCTCCTACAATTACTCTAGTTTCTTTTCTTAATCTCCATACGTGTTGCTCTAATTTCCTCATTCAACTAACATTTACAGAGCACGAAATATTTGCTCAATTTTCAGTTTCATGCAGGAGGTCATCTGACATTCCTCCCATCCATGAAGAGTTTAAAAGTAGTCAAAATAATGAGTTTTCATTTACAAAGAAATTAATATTAATAAGGATTAGATATAGTTGCTTCCAGAACAACTCAGACACTTTTTGGTTTTAAGAAATTTGCTTTCCAATTAAACACCCTTACGCTCCCCAGTAGCTCTTTTCCTTGCGCACCTTAAATAAATACATTATCAAACTCTCCAGTTCACAGCCATCTTTCCTTGCGACTGACTGTCGTAAGTGGAGGAAACTGAATGGGAAAAGATTCCTGACATCTCAGGAGATACTGACTCACCCATGAATTCTTATCTCTCAGTAGGTGCTACGCTGCTTCAAAGGCCTCTGACATTTCCTTTGACAATTAGCAGATACAAGGAGAGACAGCATAAGAGCAGAGAGAAATCAGGGTTAAAGGTGCAAGTGGAAAGGAGGGGAAAAAAACAACAAGCAGCAGAAACACTCAGGACAATGCCAAACAGGAGGCCAGAGCCTCCAGGAAATGAGATGTAATAAATACAGCTGCCGCTCCTGAGGGGCATATTCTAAAACCACTTTGTCTGTGCACAAAAGATAGAGACTGCAGACCCCTGCAAGGAGGAGAGATGGAGGCGCGCGCAAGGCGCAAGCGTCTGGGATGGTTCGCACTTACCCAGTACCAGCAGTTCCACCGACTCCTCGTTTTTGCCCTCCAGGTCATCAGGAGTGGTGACGATGCAGTAATAGAGGCCGCTGTCCCCCCACAGGAGTTTCCCGATTTGAAGATCTGCATCTGTTAGCACAAAAAGAAGTACCCAATCCTAAAACTGCCTTCTGAAAGGAAAACACAGGACAGGGAGGGTAGGAGGGGGCCCCTCGGGGACTGTCTGCACTGTTCGGTTTCCTATACCTGGATGGTAGGTAGCTGACAACATGTCTGCTTCACTTAAAATAAATAACAAAAACTAGCCATTCCTAAGGCATGAGCTAAAAGCACCCCCAGAAACTGGTCTAGTTCCAGCCCGGTTTCAGGACTAGAGGCTGCTTTCAACCAGCTAGGCTGGCACAGAGGCCCCGGAGAGCCAGATAAATCCCAGAATTACCCTGGACTCCTGGAAATGAGCTGACACCCCAAGAGTTCCTCAAAATTCAAATAGTCAAACAGGTCACATCAGAATCTTAGGACCATTCCTTGTCCAAAGCTTGAGGGGGCAGGAGAAAGGGTAGAACTGGTGTAAACCACGTGGAACCTGGGCTGCGCCACCTGCCTGGGTCTGTGACACACGCCTCCTTCTCCCAGCAGAGGGACTTCCTAGGAAGTCTGCTTTCGGTGTGTGGGGAAGGGCCACAGAGCTGACGCCAAGGTGTGAGGTATCTATCTGACTGAGAATGTCCTCTGGCACCTATTTCAGGTCAGTTCTGCTAACAAGCTCCTCAGAGTAGAGATCGGCTCGAGAAAGACTCCTTCCAAAGCCCCTCACTGTGTCTTCTCTGTGTATTACACCCTCTACCTTTTCTCTCCTCACCATCCCATCAAGCAATTTGCAGGTTTCTCAATGCGCCCATCTCTCATCAAATCATAGTTCTGACGGGCTGAAAGGCTGAGAGGCTGACATCCCTTGTGTCTGGGAAGAATGGAACTAATAAACAGAGGCATTATTACCGTGCACGATTGTAATCTCTCTGCCCCTGTAGAAATCTCCCAGGGTGATGGTGGAGCCCTGTTTCGAGGCCACCACTCGAACAGTCCTCCTGCTGTCCAAACAGTCCAGGTAGGGGTCCCACTCCAGGTTTCTTTTGCTGAGAGCCTGGGCCCGGGAGGAGGACATGCCCAGGGATTCCCCCATGCGATCCTGGCAGTAGGACTTGAACTTCCACTGCACGACTGCGGGCTGGTGGGAAGACGTGGTGTAGTGGCAGCGAAGCACAGCAGGCTGGAAGAGCATGGCCACCTTCTTTTTGTCAGGCACTGTGACCTGAAGGCCTTCAGCCATGGCTGCAAAAGAGAACGAACATGTCCACGGGATGTCTGCACCCCAGACCTCATCGCACACCACAGTCATGCCTTTCTGTCTCACCTCCCAAACCTGTCCCTCCCCGTCTTCTCCATCAGCCTCAACAGCATCCATGTCCATCTGTTGGGCTGTCCGGAAACGTGCCCTCACCCCCAATATCCATTCAGCCACTAAGTCACGTCAACTTGATCTCTTAACGTCGTTAATATTCTTCCCTCCCCTTTAACCACACCATCTGTTCATGCTGTCTTCGTGTCTGCTGACCATATCACAATGGTCTCTTGTCCAGTCTCCCTGCCCGTGGTTGCCCACACGCAGTACGTGCTCCTTGCCGTAACTTAGGTCATCCTTCTAAGTCTGTTACGGCTCTCCTTAAAACTCTTCACTCATCCTCCACAGCCTCAGGAATAAAACCCAACATTCCTGGCAAGGCATTTAAGGTGCTTTATTGCCGTACTCCTCCGTCTGCCTCCGCCTAGCTTCTGGCAGCGCCCCTATTTGAGCACCAACCTCCAGGAAAACCAGACAAGCTACAGCTTCTCCAAGTGCAACATATGGGTTCACACCTCTAGGTCTTTGCCAGGGATGCCCCTTATTTCTGGAATGCCTCTTCCTCACTTCTTTCCCACCTCTCAGAACCACTTCAAGGCCCTTTCTGACCCATGAGTCCATTTGTCTCTTCTCCTTTGTGCCATCGCTATGGGCAGCATTCTCCTCTAGACATACATGATCATTTTACAAGCGTTCATTTTCATGCTGTGACCCCGTCAGACTCGTCGGGTCAGGAACGTGCCTTACCTCGCTGGCCTCATTGGCGAAGCCATAGGTACTCAACAACTAGTGGAACAATAAGGACAGTGAAGCCAGGAGGTATGACTTCAGGAGGAAGTGACTTCCGACTAGCTGGTGACCAAGCCAAGGGGACAGAGATGAAAGAGGAAGGAAAGCTTTGAGAAAAATGGGGAATTTCAGATCAAAAGCAGTGGACTAAGTTCAAAAGCTTTGAAGGGTCATCGAAAAAAGAAAAAGAAAAAAAAAAAGGCTAGAGCGCAGATAAGATGTTTAAGTGGTGAAAAAATCCAACCTGAGGCGTGGGGTCTAAGGAAGAGACAAAACTCAGGGAATGAAAGACCAGGCAGAGTTTGACAGGCAACGGCCCTCTAGGGCCTCGACGGTAAGCTCTAGAAATTCCAAGCAAGAGAATGTAACTTCCTCAGTAGAATGGGAGAGTCAAGAGTTTCTAGCTTGACTGGAGGTTAGAAGCAGAAATAGAATTATGATGAGAGGCAGAAAAAAGGAATTTGAATAGAAAGACATGATAAAGAGGTTCTGAACTGAATCTAGGAGCTGACCGAGTCAACTTCAGGTACCCCAAGGCAGAGAGTTTCACCCTAGAATTACAGGTGGCCTGAGACGTGCAAGAAAGGACAGGTTTCCACGGGGTGCCTCCTGTCCCTCACTGTCGCCAGTGTTCCCAGTGACACTCTGCAAAGCAGACTCACTCTGCTGGCCCAAACGGACACTCAGAAATGTCTCTACAGAAGCGCCCTCTACAAGGGCTAGACACCGTATTTGTACTCACATCTTCTGATTTCCAGAGAAAATTTTCTCTTCAGTGAAAGCACCACGAGAAACGAGCTTCTAATTCCCGTGAGGAGGAAAAGGTTTCTGCATTCTGTGGAACTGGGGAGCGCATGCAACAGAGCATTTGAGATTTAGCAAATCTTAGTGTTTTGAAACTACCGAGCACTCGATAGCTACCTATGGAATAAGAGAAGGATCAATGAGCAAATGAATGACCATTAAGATGGGAATTTCTAGGACTTTGCAGAGAAAACTGGTTGAATGCCATAGACAGCAGGTACAGTAAAACAGCACTGGCATCAAATACATGGGGCACTGGCTTTCACCAGGGGCCGTCTACTAGTGGTGAGGTCTTAATGAAGCCTCCGGGGGCAAGTCTCAGCCATAAAATGAGCCTTGTACCCCTTCCTCATACTCCTTGGTCACCAGAAGAGAGGACTCTAGGGCAGAGCCCTGGGAATGCGACCAGTAGGTCTCAAATGCTTCTCTTCCCTCACCTTTTCTCGCCTTTTCCTGGATCTTCCATTCTGAGCTCCCAAATCTCAATGACCATCTGTCTTGTCTGAAGGGTTTAGCCCTGGGCAAGTTCACTATGGATTCAATGAGACTGAGAAATGACAACGGCATGTTCTTGGGGTAAGAGGGTTTATACCCAGTTTTGTTCTCCCGGTGGTAAACAGAGCGCTAGGATCACGTCTGCACCCAGCAGTCTGCAGGTCCGTAATCCAGCTCTGTCCCTGCCCCACCCAGCACCGGGCAGAGCTCTTCATAGAGTGACTCAGTCAGTAACAGCTCATTGCCTAGGGTGTGGAAGCAGCAGCCTAGCAGCAGGCCAGTGACATCATCAGTTAGTTTAGGATCAGGTGAGGATCCTGGCCATAGGAACTTCCATTTTTCTCACACCATCCACCACCAGTAAGTTCGATTAGAGCCACATGATGTGTATTGCCTGTCAAGAGGCAAGTAATTCCCATTTGGGCGCTTACTGAAGAACCTTAGTTTCCAGGCTCCCCGCTTTCCCCCACCACCCCCAAATGTTGATGTGGCTACATCCATCCTCCCTGAATCACCCAGCTGGATTGGGAAAAGAGATTTCTTTACAGTCCGTCCTGAAGATTCATTGCATTAATTTTTAACCTTGTAATTTTTATTCAAGTCCTTATTCACACCTCAATTTTCCAGGCAACAAAAGTGGGGCAGAGAGGTGGAGTGACTTCAGTTAGCTGTGGCTGACTTTGGATAATCAACCACAGGCACTGTTCGCAGCACAATGCAGTGCACTTGACCACGCTCTTCTCTGCTATCTATTTGTGTCTACTTGGGAAATCACATTTCCTACCCTTTCTAGGATAAATAAAACTAGCAAGGTAGCAGGTGCTACACAGAAGTGTTGTATGGGGTTTATTCTGTTTTGAGAGAGAGTCCAGACTGGGGTTCTGTTCATCACGTGATTACTAAGCATAACTCTCTCTCCAGCTCTGTTCTGTTAATGAGATCAGCCACCTGACCAAGCCACTGGACTCCCTTAATTATTAATAGAGGTTAGTCAGTTCTCAGCTTCTTCCATGACATACACAGAAACACAGTTACAAAGAATAAAGAATACACACTGAGAACTGTCTGCCTTTTTGATAGCATGATACAGGCATGGGTTTGGAGTCGGTCCTAACACAGAATCCAAGCTCTAGCACTTCCCAGCTGCATGACCTAAGGCAGATTACTCCACCCTTAATGAGTTTCAGTTCTCTCTCTGGTAAAACCAGAATAATAGTAACTACCTCATAGTTTGAGGTTTGAGGATTAAATGAGATTTTATCCTAAGCATTTAGGATAATACGATATATAGTAAGTACTAAATTAATGCAGTTGTTATGGTCCAGAACATTTGTTGACTTGTGTGAAGCTATGAACCTAGAGCTGGGTGAGCACGGATGTCCGGCTGTGGGACACTGAGTGTGTCTAGGGCAGGATGGGCAGACACTGCACAGGAAGGTAAGGACAGGTGGTGAGCTCAACAGTGACCACGCCTAGACATGCTCCTCTCTGCACAATTGCACAGGTACCTCCCGGGGGTCAGAGGGCAGTAACCCAGCGTGTGTACACAAATGTGCACAGGCACGTGTATGTGTGCAGGTATAGCAGGAGCCCTGGATAGCTGGACACATGCCACTAGGGTTCCAAGGAAATGTCATGTCACTGGTTCTTTCAGGACTGCGTGAGCGAAGGGTTAGCGAGAAGGCTGAAATGTCAGTCCTGCTTTAGCACAATCAGCTTCAAACTGCAGGACGAAGGCCACTGATCCTTCCCAGGCCAAACCTATTAAGAACACCATTCCCTCTGGACGGTGAGGTCTAGCGTTGCTCTTCTGGCCCTAACCCTAGATTCGGGGTGAGGGCTTGCATTCCCAATACCCGTTGAGCACCATCTCTTTCCCTCAACCTGCGTCTGTCTTACACTGTTTCCACCCAATCTCCAATCCATTTGCTCCACTGGACCTGAAGCCGTGCTCTGAGCTCCAGCCTGCTGGCCTGGAACCCAATTCCTGCCCCTTTTCCTGAGGATTTGGCATTGTTTCCTGTACCCCTCATGTCTGACTGATCCAGTTCTGTACCTGTATGATGCTATCCCCCCAACTTCAGAAAATACCTCTCATGGGACCTCTACTCCTGCCCCAAGATCAGACTCCTCAGAGATAGTAGCTACCACGGTCACTGAGATCTGGCCTGGAGTTCTGCCCCAGGGCGAGGTTAGTGTCCTGAGCTTGGGTCCTACCCCTCACAGGAGCTTCATTTTTCTATTCTACCACTTGTCCAAGAACAAAAATGGAGTATTTCTTACGCTGGAGTCTGTACAGACCCATGAGAATACCTTGGAACGCCAGGCAAACAAAGATTGTCAGCCTTTATCACGTTCCATCTAAACAATCTTATTCCCTGCCATGGTTCCAACCACCAGCTTTTCAGATCCTCGGCTTCCTTCAGCCTTGTCTGCATGTTTAACAGATACTTCAAATTAAACGTGTCTAAGCCTTTTCATCATCTCCCCTTTCCTCGCCTCTTGCTTATAAGTCAGTCCTTCCTCCCTTCTTCGTGTGCCCCCCTCTCCTAGCGCCTCAAACAGAAATTATAGCTTTGAGGCATTCCTTTCTGGCCCGAGTACATTTGGTGGTCAATACGTCTAAACATCTCTCAAGCCTGACCCTTCTCTAGTCCCACTGACACTCCCATAAATCATGTTTCTATTCCTTCTACTAGATACAGTTAGGAAATGCTTCCTCCGAGTCAGAAACTGTGGCAAGCGCTATTCATGTGGTATCGTCATGTATTCTCTGAAAAAAACCCCTACCAAGCAGGTATTATTATTTCATCCATTTTATAGATGAAGAAACTGCTTCTCA